TAGATGAAAAAGAGAGAGTCGGAAATACTAGCTATGGTGTAGAATATTTTACCCTTCAGAAGAAAGTAAAAGGCCCTGAAGGACAGACTTGAAAGCTCTTGCAGCGGTAGCACTTAGGCACATAACGAATCCAAATAAGTGAAACCCTGGCTCACCCTGTAATCACCAAGAAAATCTTGAAGCTCCATAGAGGCAAAATGAATAAACACGGAACACAGAAAGGAAAATATGCACCACGCAGATCCAAGGGAACTACTATTACTAGCCAGTCATTCATCAAATTAACAAATTATATTGGGTGTGCATGCAATACACTGAATGCCACTACAATTGAGAAGCAGATAACTAAAAAGAGCCTAATTCATGACAAGCTTCAGGGAGATATCGTAATCGTATATATAACCTGATTAAATGAAAAAAAAAAAATATAGCTATCTGGTATAAGCTGATAAACTAGAACCGTGCAGATCCAAAAAGAACAAAGAAAAGCATAACAGAGAATAATGTCAAGAAGCACCATTGACCCAGTGTCCTGAAATTTCACCATCTATTTCATGTGAGAGAAAAAACAGGAAAAGGAAAAGAAGAGCCCTCCCCTTGTCATTGATTTGCAGTTCTTGAAAAGTTGAGATCTCATTAACTTCTCCGGTGGCAATTCATGACAAATAATTTCCTTGTAATTTTCAAACAATCACAGACCAACTAAATCGCACAAACAATCACAATCCAATCTGGCCAACATCACTTCAGATCTGGAGTGGCACATGAAACTTGATACAGTATTGAAATGTCTCCATAGTTACACAAACACCCTTCACAAATCAGTAATCAAGGCCCCTATCCCAATCTCAAAAGGAAACACACACCCATGATTAGTCACAACATTAAAATACAACAAAACATTCGAAATGACTGAGATTAGGAAGAACCGAGCATACCCCACTTGCAATGACAACCCCAGCAACAACAGGAACAAGGGCAGCATACGTAACCCAAGCCTCTCTCTTAAGGGTAGCCAAATAGGCAAAGACAGCAGTGAAAAAGGGTGTGGTTGCCCCGACCGCCTGGTTGAAGGACACGGCGAGGTACCTGAGGGATATGTTGCCACCCACAACAGAGGCACAGAAGACAAGACTCAAAGTTGCAATCTTCATGAACTGGGACCTCGATTTGATCATCTGCTGAGGCACCACCTTGAAGAACACAATGGAGATATAGCTGAAAACAGCACAGGCTGACATGTGGCACATTGTGAGGAAGATGGGGAACTTGAACCCATAGTTTGAAAGCAGGTACTTGTTGAGAAGGATCACACCAATGTTTGAAGAGTACCAAAGTGTCACCAGAAAACATATGAACAGATTCTCCTTGCTGTTGGAGGACATTGTCTTCCCGCTCTTCCCTCCACTCCCTCCTCCCTGGATTTCCAATTTTTCACAATATCAACAACCTTTCATCATTACATTCTCGATACTCAAAACAACTATAATTATAAAATATTTTTTTTTTTATTATTTTTAATCTCTTTTTTTGCTTTTCTTTATTTATCGACTTACCCCACTTTCTTTCACCGTGGCCTTGGCTTCATTTTCAAAGGAGGCTTTGGATCTCATGCTGTAAGAACCATGTGTGCTCATTGAAACTTTTTGTTGGTATGTTTCCTGTGGATGGGTCACAAA